ATGGTAGAATTTCCATTAATCCTTTGCATTTCCGGGAATGGAATATAAATCTGAACATGCTTTTACAATGACTAGACGTTTTGACTATTACGCCGCAAAAGCTCGTGGTATAATTTCCTTTAATCCCTAACATTCCCGGGAATGAAAGATAACAGCTGGATAGTTCTGAGTATTAAGCTGCAAGAACACGTGGAAGAATTTCCTTTAATCCATTATATTGCCGGGAATGGAAGATAATATCTGGGCATTTTGACTATTACACCACAAGAATGCATGAGAATATTTTCCTTATATTCCCGCAAGCGGAACTCGAGTGTTCCAATATGCAGCTGAGTTTTCAGATTATTTATGCCACAAGAACGCATGGCATAAATATCTTTAATCCCTTACATTCACTGGAATTAAACCTGACTCTTTCAATAAACAAATAGAATTATTAGCAGCTATTAAGTGTATTCAGGGATGTAAATTGAGCCTTTCCAATTTATAGTCGGGGTTCTAAATACTGTATTACAAGAGCATATGGGAAAAATATCATTAATCCATTACATTCCCACTTTCCACCTTAAAAATGAACGAAGAAGGGGTGGTAATCCGTCGGCTAAATCTAGCTAGCAACGAATCATCATTTAATATATTCAATTTCGTCCCCACTTAGACATTGGATATTTTGAAGTGAGAAATAATGAAATATCGATATTGTTTTCAACGGGAATTTAAATTCAGTTTTCCTACTACTAGCTGGACATGAAAACTATACACCAAAAGAGCTCGTGAGATAATTTCTTACGTGACGGAGAGCATTAATCACATGAGGTTTCAGAAAATCAATGTATAAATATATTACCACGTTAGAAAGAGTATTTTAAATAGCATAAATATGTAATTTTTTAATATTTATAGGTATATAAAGGAGCTTATTTTAATTTTCATTCAGAAATATTAATTGGAAATTAAGTAATAAGCAAATATATAACAGCATCATTATTATAAAACCAGCTATTAAAAATCATTACATGTCCTTAAGGAAAATGTCTAATGTCTAACTGTAAAAAATTAACAACATTAAGCAGATAATAAGTGCAACAGTAATTGGGACTGAATCTGTTAATTGTTTATTCACCTAATTACTCATTTAGACGCTCTTTAGCATTCTGTATGAATCTCGGTGTGCAGAGTAGTTTCTTTTTTATACGCAGAGTAATTGAATTTTTAAAATGTAACTACTCTGCATGGCGAAAAGGAAAATTGCATGTTAAATTATAATACTGTAGTTTGAGTGATGTTATGTATAAAATTGGGTTATTGCTAGATATTAGAGCTAAAATTACAATTACGTTAACTTAACTAACCTCAGCCATAATTAAATTGGTTATTTGAACATGGCAAGGCACACGAGAAGTATCTGCCTAAGGGGCCTTCATGGACGACATTCTACATGAAACTGGCCCGCATTCACGTTACTCATGAGGAAAAGCATGAAAACAAACTATACAGCGAGCCCGTTTGCCTGGGATCGAGCTCGGGTCAAGTTCTCAGCGTTCAAAGGTTTTAACTATACGACCAGTAGTAGGGCAACCTCTACGAATAATCGTATCTAATTTTTATAATATCTTTCTTAAGTTAATACATTTGTGAACTCGTAGAATTTTACTTCTGTAAATTTATTTGCAAAAATAAGTGTATAGAATACAAATGGCGTAGTATTGAAAATGTTGAAGCTCGCAACCAGTAATTGCGATTCTCTTGAAATTATGAATAAAAACTTCAACTGCAAACAGATTTATGACAACCTCGTTTCCTTATTTAATGCTCAACATGCTCCCAAACGCAAATGTAAATTCAGTAGAAGATAATCAAGAAGCAGTTGATTAAAGATTATGGATAAGTAGAATAACTAGTACTCTCTAAGACATACTTTACATGAAGCATTACATGTAAGAGCTCGAACTAATATTATAACTATGCTTAATAGTAAATACGTTAGTACATATATAAAATAATCTGAAATTTATTACTTAGAGACTCAAAACTTAAGAATTTCAGAGAAGAAACATTTTTAAATCTTAAGAGGTGCCGTCAGCATAGTAATATGCTACTTCTTATTGTTCTGGTGCAATGCTTCTTCAAAAGAAGTACAAAATTTCGCAAATGAAATTGCATAAACTATCAGAAATCTGTTAAATATTGAAATATTAAAACTGAAGTATTAATATATTATATTATAATCATATATTAAAATATTAATATATTATAATCATCTACTGAAATATTAAAATTGCAAAAACTATCAGAAATCTATAAATAATCTAAAATATTAATTATAATTATCTATCAAAAACTCAATAAAATTTTGTTCTTATATTTGTAATCGAAAGTTTATTAAATATCTCTCAAATGGAAACACGCGTTTAAAAATTTTTAAATTTCCTTCTGAATACTAAATAAATGAAATCTCAAAAAACACCAACATTTATCTAAACTGTATTAATATTTCAATTAAAAATATTACCCAGAAAACAGAAAAAATTTTGAATTCCAACGAAGTAAGTCTTTGAGTGGATACTTTCATTTAGCATGCAGAACATAATTTGAAAATTCGTGTAATGCAAAAGCTTGAAATGCTTTAACGCATGCATACAATTGGTAACAGTCACTCATCTACGTTATATGACAACGTATACTTAAAATAAACTGAACGCTTGGATAAATATTTTCTATTTCATGTAAGCTATAATTCAAGTAAATCCGTAAAATTATTTATCTTGACATGAGGCGGGATAACTACATACATTTTGAGAGAAAATTGAAGCGGTACGTTAGTAATAATGACCGATAATTAAAACGCTTGGAAGATTGTCAGTCAAATAAAATGCTTACAAATTATCCAATGCAATTTAATAATTCATATAAATTTAGTAATCTCATAATATATTTAAAGTAACTTTTACAGCTTTGAACTGGAAATCATTTATGTTAACTCACATAAATACGGCAATATGGAACTTTTAAATCAACATGTTCACTATAAATATAGTAAATTTATGAGCTAAATAATGTTAAGTCAATTTTATACGAAACGTAGTGAAAAGTCATTCACAAAATTTCTGTAAATATGATAGCTTAAATGCACTTTATGTAAGTACGTAATTCAAATATTAACTTCTGTAAAAGTAGTTACGATCCGCAAAAATCTTAAAACTATTTAACAAAGACGTACTGAGAGTTAAAACAAAAATGAAACTTGAAAACATTTAAAATTACATTATGGTATAAACTTTTTTTTAGATTGAAGAAGTTGGACCATTTTTTATATCCTAAGCTATAATAATAATAATAAATACATAACCTTATTTATTCAAATGCATGGAAACTTGGCACGTTTAAAACAAATAATAATATAAAATATCTAAATGGATATAATAAGCATCCCTTAAGTTGTTATAAAAATATTCGAGATAAGGAGAAAATTCATGAATACGATTGTATAGTATTTACCATTAATAACTTTCCTTATGTTATACAAATATATTCTGATAAGAATAAGCTGCTTATGATGAATCCAAGCATTAATGAGCTTCAAATGAATTAACGTAACATTAAAAATAAATTAATATATCATAATATCCTAATACCGTAATGCATTAATATTTAAAAAATTTTATAGGCAAATCTGGGAAAAGACTTAATAAGTTAAACAGCATAATTAATCTCAGAAAGGTTAATAATAATTACATAAAAGATTATTAGTCGAATAATTGTAAAAATTAATTTATTGTAAGCTATTATATAAGAAAAGCAGCGTAAGTTCTCTCGTGTAACACAATACCATATCTTTTCGTAAAACAGATTGCATTTCATTTCTTATAAATTCATGTATTATTTTTCTCTTTCCGTATTCAGATATTTTGCGAAATATCCCTGAAACTGATATACAAAGTTTTCAAAAAATAACTTAAGAAAATTGCGATATTTAAGAATACAGACTGAAAGTATATTAACAGCAATGAAGAAAATGTATTTTTTTTAAACTTCTTTCAGCCATATTTTACGTATATAAAAAACAATTATATGTTCATATTCATATATGTACAAGTTGACGCGAAAAGGAAATGCAACTTTAGAGAGTTTCTAGTTTTAATTCAGTACTTCTGAAAATACGGCTTTGTTTGAGTTACTTTGTTAATTTATGTTTGTGTCTGTGTAACATAACAGAGTAACAATGTACAAAATACATGGATTATAGAAATTACGGTTTCACGGAAATTTTTCATAATTTAAATTAAGTACTTGCGACACAGATGTAACGATACAGCTATATTTACGTTAAATAGTAAAGGTACCTTTCAAATCCGTATAATATGACATTACAGAACTACAAAAAAGGCATGTATTAGAAAATTCACGAATTATCGTAGGATCCAGTCTTGATTGTAGATATAAACATAAAAAATAAATATAAGGCATTTTCGGAAGGAAAACGCGTTGACAAAATTGCCAAACAAATTACGAAAAAATTTTCATCCCACAAGAAAAAAAAAAATGGATTACATACATTTCCCAAGTAAATGAAATGTTGATATCTTCAGTACCGCTATATAATTTTTTTATTAAAATAAACAGATATTAAACCACCAACTTCTGCAAATCTAGTATTTAGTTCCTACTGCAAGTGTATGTCTTAAAGTATAACGGTAACCTGTACAGTGTATTTCCTAAAGTAAAAATATAATTAAATTAGTATAAATATATTTTTAGAATATTATAATGTAAGTATATAATAATCTTAGTTTCTTGCATAGGCTTGTTTATCAAATAAAATGTTTCTTTTAAAAGTATATACCTATTGGAGAAGGCTAATTTCACTATTTACTTCTAGTAGATTGTACATAAATAACTTATGAAATTAGTATAACACCGTAAGAAAATGCGACTTTGAAAGCCCCGCTTTTTGCTCGTGTAAATAAATTCACAGATGAAAACATAAAAGCATGACTCACCCCGACTTTCATGTAACACCAGGAGCAGGCAAATCGCCGAAACGAAACGTGAGTGTCGATTCCGCCGCATCACAACATCACATCCTATCTTTTTCTCACCCTTCTTTTCCAATCCTGATCACCTCCACCCACGGATTGAAAAAAAAAAAAAAAAAAAATAACACTGCAAACTAATTTAATCGGCAAGGCAAAGCGAGAGTGGAGAGATCATCGAAGGGGGGACGGGATGAACCGGACCGACCCTTGACCCCCGTGTTCCGCGAGGGGGTGGAGCCGAGAGTCTTTCGAACGAGGGAGTGACGGCAGGATCGTGATGCAGCTGAGAAAGACACGGGATGTCTGATCCGCCTGTTCTACGGCAGGGTTGCTCGTGGTGAGAACGAAAGATGCTGTCGCCAACGGGAGTGGTGGGGGTCGCCAGGTGGGGAGGAAAATTCGCCTTGGCGATTTTTTTTTATAAAGCGTTTACACGCTCTTTTTTTTTCAACTTTTTCACTTGGCCAAAATTATTAGAAAGTATATTTTGCTTTTAAAGATTGATTGCGCTTCGGAAAAGTGTCGTTAATCAATTTAAAACAAAGCGACGACTAATTCCTATCCGATACGCTTTTTTAAGCGAAAAATAAATGTTGATAGAGTAGAGTATCTTTACGCTATAAACTAGGGTACTCTTACTCTTCAGTCTAATTGAGGGTAAATAAAACCCCCTTCTGGTGTGTTACAGACGAATATTCATACTTACTGTGATTCGGTCTGTCGCTGATGAAATCTGGGTAGGTAGGTAGGCATTTACACGTAGGTATTCATATTAAAAAAATGAACACTGATTCCGGAATAAAAATTTCGGTTAAAAATTTGAAATTTAAGTTTGAATATATTTTACATATTTTTCTCAAAAATCATCTACATTTTTATTACCTTATTTTGTTAATTACAAAATTTAAATCGGTTGGTTGAAATTAATTGCGTACTTTTTCGAAATGTTTTTTTTAACGGTTTAAAATTCTAAAACTAATACTTTTGTTCTTTATTCGTGGCTTTCTTTACATAAATGAGCTTGGCAGTAAAGCTCTCGTGCGGGCATTTGCATTATAAAATTAAGTTCATGGTGTAAATAATTTACTTCTTCCTTATAAGACAGAATTTTATTTACATAAAATTGCATATCAGTTCACCAATAATAATTATGTTTTTAAAATTTTAAATGGTTTAAAATTCTAAACTAACATATTTGTTCTTCCTCATTCATAGCTTTCGTTACATAAATGAGCTTGGCAGTAAAGCTGGCGTGCTTGCATTTGTATGAAGAAATTAAGTGAATGACGTAAATAATTTATTTATTTATTTCATAAGATTTAACTTTACACAACATTTATTTACATAAAATTGCAAATTACCTCACCAATAATTATGTTTTTAAAAGTTGGTTATTTTTCCTGTTTAGGGCAAGAATTTTAAATATGTTCTCCCTCCCTGCATACCTTCGTAGTGAATTGGTTAACACACTCGGCGCGTATTCGAGATGTCCATGTTTGAGTCCCGGCGAGGGCACTGCTCATTTCTCCCGTCTCCTGCATCAAAAAGATCCTAATGACTCTACCGGGGCGCCCGAACTAAAACGTAGTGGATGATGAGTCTTCATAGCCAGGATTTGGCGATTAGGTCGCCTAATTTTTAGTCACCCTTTGAAAGGGGGAGTATATAAGGTATTTTCTTCCTCATTCCAGCGTGCCTTTGTGATGTAACGATTAGTACACTGGGCATGTATTCAAGAAGTCCGTGATTCGAGTCCCGACAGGAGCATTGCTCATTTTTCACAGCTCCTACTTCCAAAATAACCTAATGTCTCTACAGTGGTGCTCGAACTAAGAAATGTGGTTGATGATGACTCTCTACCACCAGGATTTGGCGACTGGGTCCTTTAATCCTCAGGCGCCCTTTAAAAGGAGAGTGTATAAGGATGTTCTCCCTGCTTTCTGTATGCCTTCGTGGTGTAACGGTTGGCACACCCGGCGCGTATTCGAGAGGTCCAGGTTAGAGTTTCGCTGAGGGCATTGCTTATTATTCATGTCTCCTGCTTCAAACTATCTAATGTTTCTACAAGCGTTATGCATGATCTAACGTTATGAAAGAAATGTGTGTCATAAATACTCACATAGAATCACAAATCGCATTCTTCAACTCAAAAATCATCCTATTAGTTCTGATTTTACAAAAATATATGATAAAACGAAAAGGACTCTGCAAAGTCCGGCTTCAGTTTTCTGTGGATTTACAGAACAAGTAGCTATTAGCGTAAAATTAAATCTGTAGTGCTTGAGTTGTCATCTACTAATCATTTTTGCATTTAAATTGGTTTCGCGTACAATATTCATTTGGAGTTTCAACCATTTAAACGTGTTTCATTTTACAACATTATAAAGAAATGAGAATGAAGTAAACTTTCATGATAAAGAGGAAAACACCATTTTTTTTTCTTTTTTCAGAAATGAAAAAGACGTGCAATAAATGCAAACTTGCATAACTGCTTGTTATGAATCAGATTTTATTTTTGTCAAATTTTAACTGTTTTATGCCAACCCATTTTGAATGAATTCCGTTTCATATAGCTCTTTTTGCATATGACTTCAGGCCTAACTAAACCATTTTTATCATATTTCCAAAATCATCATCAAGCTCAATTTTTTTTTCTAAATGCGTTTAGTCTTCCAAATTAAAGTAAAATTTAAGTAAAATCTGTTGATTTTATTGCACAAAAACACAGACTTTTTATAATAATTTTGTTATGCTAGTTTATATGGGAAATTTGATGCTGGGCTAAATGAATATTTTCAAACTCAAACCACTGGAAAATGTTTTATCGGAAGTGGGGTCTTTAAGTGTAAATTACACGAATTTGCCCTTGTTTTTGAATATTTTTGTAGTATAGGCTGCTGCATCTTTTCCAACACATTTATAGCACACAACAATAAATAAAACTGAACACGTTAAGTTAATTCAGTGCTTTGAATTCAGATTATAGATTTAAAGCTGTTAATGTCATGTAAGATATGAGTGAAAGTTTGAGATCCCAGTTATTTCCATAAAATAATTCCTTGCATAGGTAACTTACTTTTTGTTGACATTCAATGGTTTTCTTTCAATGCTTTGGACGTTCCTGTAGATGATGTTTTATAGGAATATTTAATGGCTCAAATTTCGTCTCATATTGTACTTGAAACTAATAGATCTAAAAATACACAGGAGATCACGTAGTTTCCAAATTACACTCTATATCGTATTTTGGCAAGTAGACTTAGGTGATGACAATATGCCTTGATTGTCTTTTAGGACATCTCTGGGATGTTATATTGTACAAGAGAGGCCTATTTTGTGATGCCAAGACATTGATTTATCTACCATGTTCAGTTGTGTCTGTTGTCGATGTCTGTTGCTGTGTATTTTGTCGTTGTCTTAGCCTCCTTTAAATATGGATAGCCTTAAATGCTGCACATTGTATTAAATAAAATAAAAACTTTTAAAAAAGCACCGTTTGAACTGTGTCAGAAAAATAAATCGTGTATGATGAGAATTGGAATAAAGCGAATTGAATTACGATCCTCTAAAGCAAAACATGCAGAAAGAGGGTGTCTAACCACCTGATGATCATTTCAGTGATCTCGGACTTTCCGCTTACAGCTAAAGATCAAACGCAAATACATATCTATTTAAAGACAAAACGACTTCAATAAATTGCTTGCTATGCATAAACCTGGATTTAAAAATACTCCAAATAATCGGCGTTTTTTTAGCCTAATCCCCGTGGAAACGCCACTATAAACAATTACCGAATTTCTTCATTCATGCTGCTCTGAAGTAAATGCTTCTCAGTCTTACCATCAATCTGAATATCCGTGATTTGAAGCCCCGATCAAGCCATTGTGGAATTTTGTGATTTTTGCTGAAAAAAAGAAAGTTAGTTCTCTCTACACTCTCTACACTAGCGCAGGATCTAAAATGTGGTAGACATGTGGTCTAAAATGTGGTCAACTAAGCCACTACTAGCTACTAGCCACTATTTAAAAAGTGACTGGCCATTCCCCAGTCACCATTTAAGTAGGGTAGAATATGAGGTATTACAGCCTTCTCTCATGAGTAGTCACACTGTACAGGTGGTTATCACCTCCAGTAAGCAGGTCAAACACTTCATTATTAGAATGGTATTAAACATCTGGCTTCTTAGGCTCAAGAACCTACCTAAAAATGGTTGCGATTTTTATGGGGTATGAGAATTTTTGGAAAGAAAATCCAATGAGGCTACAAACGTGGTAAGAATTTTGACCCGAGAAAGCTGTTAAACTGGTGAAGCAGCTGGAAGAACATGGCTTGAGTTCCGAAGAGGATACAGTTAATTTTTCGTGTCTCCTTCGTTTAATAAAGCTTATAGTCTTTATATCAAGGCACAATATGTTATCAACAAAAAAGAAAATGAAAAGAAAAAGCTTTACAGTAAGCTTTCAATGAACTATAACTGTATAATTTAACATTTTACATATGCAACGTAAAAAAAATTGATATAGCAAATTTGTGAACAATTAATTTATGTTCTTATAACGTCTTATAACGTCTTATAATCGTCTTCGTGATATGCGAGGCTTTCTTAACGTTCATCGGCGTAAAGTTTCGATAAGCATCATCAATGATCAAAGCTTTAAATGAAAATGGTTATTACTGCGCAATAAATATTAAAGTGTAAATTAAATAAAATTATATTTAGAAAACCAATTTTACCATTAGTGTTTGTCGTGAAAGACAGATAGATATTGATGAAATTCCTAAAGCAAATTTAGCACAAAAATACATAATTTCTATGAGAAGCAGTTAGGCTACTCTATCAAACACCAGTTTTTGATTCAATATTAATACTTTATTCTTCAATAATGATAAAAAAAAAAGTTTGGTAAAAATAGGAAATTTGATGCAGAGATTAATTTCAAAAGGTATAGCAGTCTTGAGTTAAGAATAAAATATATACAAATTTTACATTACCTATTTTATGCCTATTTGGATAATTTTATAATTAATTCTTTATATATGCATTCACAATACTTTGAATCTAAGCCTCTGTTCTCATGATGAGAAAAAAATAGCTTACACGTTATAGTTACTATCAGTTACATATTTACAAGTTACTCCCATCGTATTTTTTTTTCTTTTTAGTATAGTAAGTTACTTTACTCCGAATTCCAAAGCAAAACAAAATTTAAACGCTATTCTTGCATTGTAATGTAGCGCCCTCTACCAAATCAGTTAGCGATTTAGAACAAT